TCAACTATTAAGAGTACAATTTATATTTTATTGAACAAACCTCCTAATGCTAACAGTATTTTTTTAAAACATAAAAAACTTACGATGCACTGTTCCAAATTATTACGCACAGTAAGTTTCAAAACACTTTATAGGTTGTAAAGAACTGAAAATTGTTATTTGTTGTGTTTGCAGCATATTTACTGAAATCAAAAGCTATTTCAATCAAACTTATAACAACATTTTAACTTTTTAAATATTTTAACAGGTCACATTACATTTCAACATAGGACCCCTTATTTGATAGCAGTTTCACAAGTCTTGCATCCATTGAACTTGTGAGTTTTTGGACAGTTTCTGCTTGAATTTGTTTGCAAGATGTCAGGATAACCTCCCAGAGCTGCTGTTTGGATGTAAACTGACTCCCACCCTCATAGATCCTTTGCTTGAGGAATTCTCCAAAGGTTCTCAATAGGATTGAGGTCAGGGGAGGATGGAGGCCACACCATGACTTTCTCTCCTTTTATCCCCATAGCAGCCATTGATGCAGAGGTATTCTTTGCAGCATGAGATGGTGCGTTGTCATGCATGAAGATGATTTTATTACGGAAAGCATAGTTCTTCCTTCTGTACCAGGGAAGAAAGTGGTCAGTCAGAAACTCCACATACTTTGCAGAGGTCATCTTTACACCTTCGGGAACCCTAAAGGGGATGACCAGCTCTCTTCCCATGATTCCGGCCCAAAACATGACTGCACCACTGCCTTGCTGATGTCGCAGCCTTGTTGGAACAGGGTGGCCGTCCACCAACCATCCACTACTCCATCCATCTGGACCATTCAGGGTTGCACGGCTCTCATTAGTGAACAGGACTGTTTGAAAATTAGTCTTCATGTATTTTTCTGCCCAATGCAGCCGTTTCTGCTTGTGAGCATTGGTTAGTGGTGCACTATGCAAGACTCTGGAGGAATCTACACCTTGATGTCCGTGGGACTCCAGAGGCACCAGCAGCTTCAAATATCTGTTTTCTGCTATGTAATGGTATTTTAGCAGCTGCTCTCTTGATCTGATGCATGGATCTGGCAGAAATCTTCCTCAATGTGCCTTTATCTGCACGAACCCATCTGTGCTCTGAATCAGCCACAAATCTCTTAATAGTGCGATGATCACGCTTAAGTTTTCGTGAAATATCTAATGTTTTCATACCTCGTCCAAGGCATTGAACTATTTCATTCTTTTCGGCAGCAGACAGATCTTTTCTTGCCCATATTGCATGAAAATGGTGCTCTGCTTAATAATGTGGAACACCCTCCTTTATTAGTTTTTCCTTAAATTGGGCTCACCTGGCAATCTAATTATCACACGTGTCCGAGATTGTTTTCAGTGATCAAAAGAGCCCTGAGACACAATGCCAGCCATGAGTTAAACTGAAAAACAAAATATTTAAGCTTTGTGACACTTAAATAGAATTTGCATAATAATTTGGAATAGGGTGTATATATGTTTATTTTGTATATGAACTGGGCTAACAAAGGAAAGTTAGTTGGTTGTTTTACATTTATTTGCCAGGGTAAATAGAGACCCCATAGGTTATGGGTGATAGTTTTCCAATACCACTACGTTCGGGGATTGGAATAAGGAATTGCCAGCTTTGCATGTCTCCCTTCACAGTCATCAAACTGTGATTAACTGTTTAGCCTTTACTACATTGCACACATAGGGCGAGATTTATGAAGGTAACAACTGGTGCTATTCTGGGCCAATGAGCTAAATATGGAGTAATCATCATGAATTCCAATATGTCTCCAACGTTTAGCACTTGCACCTAGAACATCTAGCACATGTTTTGCTTTAATAAATGGAGCCCTCCCTAGCCACTGTGGGGTCTTGAGAACCACTGCAATGGTTGCTTTCAGGAGGGCAGCACCTTGTCAAGTCATTCTGCTGATCCTCTGATCTTGAGCCTGAGAACTTACCTTGAGAACTTACATGGCCTGTTTAATAGCATTTTAGTCACTTTTCTTATACCTGTTGATAATCTGATGCCAAGTTCTATGTTCCTAAGTTACAAAAGCACAAGCCCTCACAATAGTAGCAGACCAAATGTAGTAAATACTGAAGGCGGCATTTATAACAACGCAGACAAGGGAATGCAATTATTAGATATATTAAACACTAGGCTTGTCCCAATTTCTGGTGACAGGCGTCTTTTAAACTTTGCAATCTAAAAATCCATTGCTTCCTTGTCACGGGTCTAACAGACGTAAATATGGGTTATCCTTACCTTTTGGTTCCGGTAGTTCATTAACATGTATCTGGCAGTCAACAAGGAAGGAGGCTGGTACATGAGAAGGTGGATATTTAGTTTTGATGATGTTACACATAAGTATACAAGGAGCCAAAGTCCTTTGTCTCAGGAACTTTTTATTGGACCCATAAATTTAAAGATGTCAATTTATCAATGGTGAGTATAATGGCAAGATGTTTATGACATGACAGTCGCATACCATGGTCCTTTGGGTGTACTTAAACAGCCTGGTACAAATGGCTATGTACTTACTAGAGGACTGTGTTTCCATAACTCTGTCTCTTTTGAATAACAGTGCCTTATTATTAAAGGGACACTACAGGCATCAAAACAACTTTAGCTTAGGGGGCGGAACCAACGATCACCCTGAGCAGACGCAATTTCTGCCAGCTCCTCACGGCCCTTGAGAAACTTGATTAATATCTTCGATTCGCAAACCCATCCAGCTTCTAAAATCAGCTAGCACAACTCCTGAAGGCACACTGGATCTGTCGATGCTTTTCTTTTACCCCCCCAAACAATCTAAGCTGAGACGCAAGACAGTCTACCTACCACATACTGACCATTTTCAGTCTGGAAACGCTCCTAAACAGCTCAGCGGCAGGGAAATACCCAAGCACGATACCTGGGTCCCCCGCACAGGCAGAACACATGCCAGCTATGGAACGCAGATCCCAAAAGCAAACTGCTCCCACGGATGGTCTGGACATAGGCTTGATGTTACAGATGCCTCTTCCACCCAGTCACCCTCCCACAGAGGCCCTGCATTCTATAGCTCCAGCCATAGAGGCAGTACAGGTACCATCGGATGTGAGGCCCAACACAGAGCTCAGCCAAACTGCTTTTTCTGAACCATTCGATGGCACAGCTCCCACTACCAAGAATGACCTGAAAATATTATTAGCAGATATTTACAAGCTATGGGCGGCAGACCTGACGCGCATCAACACTGACATACAAACAGTCACTGACTGCGTTAACACTGCTGAAGCGGATATCATTGCTATTCACATCGACTCCTCAGCCATGAGAGATTCTCTCACTTGAAGACAGGCAGCGCCATAACCACATTAAGATCTGCGGGTCCCAAATGCAATATTGGCGGAAGAACTACCACACTATGTTAGGCGGCTGCTGGCAACAATCCTGTCTAACCCAGTAGCCAAAAGAGTGACAATTGACAGAGTCTATCGCATACCAAGAGCATCTAAATCACCACCTAACCAGACCTGAGATGCAATTCTCCGATGCATATCCTCCCAGGACA